ACGCGCGGCCAAGGGTGTTGTACGTATGTGGCGCACTTCCGGCCAGGAACTACCTTCGCCATTTCCGGACGATGCATCATTGGCGGCCGATAAAGTTTGCGAGAGTCAAGGGGGGCGAAACTCGCCCTCGCGCCTCCGCAACTGGAAACCCCCCACGTCACCCCTCCGCCCTTGGCCGAGACAAAAAGTGGAGAAACGGAACGTTATCTCTCTCTCTTTCTCTCTCTCTCTCGAATGGGACGGATGGCGAAAATTTCCCCCACCACCGCTTCCGGCGTGCCTCGATTTATGGATAATTTAACCGTGTGTTGTTGCATCGTGTTCGAACATCGAAGTAGACTATTTTTCGATAGTTGGTGGATCTGGTCGGGGAAACTTTCACCTCTCGTTGAATATCGATGTTATTACCAGTTGTTTCGCCAGGGATTCGCTTTCGAACCGTGGCAAAATGTGTGTTTTCGAAAAAATGTGCGGGGATATCAATCGCCTCCGATTATTCACGAATTTTTCTCTTCAATTGTTAATTATTTTCTTCTTTTCTCTCGAGCCTTTCATTGATTTTGTTTTTATCGCTCCGGTTTAGGATTAGGATCGTTAGAGTTAGTTAAAACGATTTTAAGAAATATAACGCGAATATGCGCTGCAATGTATCGCCACGAGAAACGTATATTTTCAAACGATTCGATTCTCATAGATTTTTTTCCATTCATCGATCGATTCTATTCTATTTTTCCCTCATGTCGGCCCTCTTCCTCGAGGAACAATCATCTCGAGCAAAGTTCCCGTGAATTAAACCATTCTCGGACAAACGTCTCCCCTTCTTCCTCCCTCTCTCTCTTTCTGTACGTTAGACACCGTGTAGGACGAAAAGTCTGGATCGGGTTCAAGCAGGGACTGGTGGTTCCATCGGGACGAGAATTCGGGAGGAGATGGGAAAAAGAAGAGGGAGAACAGCTCGTTACACGGTCCGATGGATTTTTCGCAAACAGGAACACGAGCGAATTCCTGTTCGGATCTCTTTAAACCTCCCCTTGGCGAAGAAGCACGTTGAAAGACGAGAACGGTGCAGTCACACCTGGCTCGGTGGTCTGATCGATAATCCCAAGTGGCCACGGGTAAAATGGAGAGAGAAAGGAGAGAGAGAGAGAGAGAGACTTTCTTGACTAACGATCGTTTCTCGTGACGGGGCGCGATACAAGGATGCGCGCAAAGGAGGTGGACTCTCGAAACCGAGAAGAAGAAGAAGAAGAAGAAGAAGAAGAAGGAGAAGAAGAGAGGATTGGTAGACAGGGAGGATATAAAGGGTTCCTCGACCAACGAGATTGGATGAGCCTGGATAATTAGCAAAACAGCGGAACTCGGTCGTTAGTGGCTCCTTCCTTCGATGTTCCTCTGTCGTCTGCAGCCTGCCGATGATTGAGCACAATGCGTGCCTGATTTCAACTCCTTTTTCCCTCGTATTTTTCTTTTTTTTTTTACGTATTCCTCCGAAATGTTCGAAGCTCGTTTATGTTTCTTATCGAAACGCCTTCGATTCGTTCAATCCTTGCCACTTAACTCGAGACAAATAGCGTCGATTGACCGCGATGATTTTAAGCTCTGTTCCTTCCTCCTTTTTTCTTTTATATTCCTATAAATATTCGATATCGTTTCTCTTCAATTTGTTTAATTTCCCACTTACGACGAAGGGAAAGAAATTCGATCTCTTTTAAAAAGTTTACTTCGCAACATTATCTTGTACAATATACATCTCGTTTCTAAAATAATTTTGTGAAATAATTAAAAGTAAGAAATCGTATCGAATAATTTTCATTTATCTTTGTAGAAAGAAAGAGAATGATTTAATTTTAATTTTGCTCGAAATTCATCGATCGCTCAGAGTTCGACGATATTTCGATTTTATGTATCCAAGGCAGCGAAAAAATTCTTTTTCGATGTACAACTCGCGATCATTTTTTTACGCATCGTTTACACGACGCGGTGTTAACGATATCGGCAGGGATTTTCCACGATTATACACTCGGAGTGGGGATACGGCTACAAAAGGATCCCGGAAACGTCAGTGGCGTATGAATAGCCCGAGAATAATTCCGAAATGAAGCATCAAACATTAAAGAGATGGTTGAAAGCACTGTGAATCCCTGTCGGTGATATCCTCGAAACTTTAAATTCAAATTAAACTTGGCGAAACGCGGCCGTAAACGGATGTTCCTCCCCCCTTAACTGAAGATGGCCCACGGATAAGCGGATGGGTCTAATTTCGTATTCCTCGTGCAACAACGAAATTAGAATCCCTATTTTTCTCCCTTCCCTTTTCCAGAAATCCATCCGGCTATTTATATATATACGCGGATTTCGATATACGCGGGATCGATTCGACGAGGAGAGTAACCTCGATTTATTCATCCTCCCTCCTCCAGAAACGTCGTCTATCCTCTGTCCTGTTTTTAATTCCTATTCATTCGTTTTCAAACGACCCAGTTTCTTCCGCCTTTCTTCTCCCTTCCCTTCCCTTCATCGCCGCCATTCTTTCGTACGACTCACCTCGGTAGAACCTCGCGTTGCATTCAAATTAATAAGGAGCCGTTTGGACGAGTTTTTGGACAACGGAAAGGTTTGTGATTGGGAATAATGCAGGGTTTAATCGAAAGCGTTTCAATATTTTTAGATAAATTTCAATTGTATCTTCTCGCCGAGAAAGGATAATAAATTTGACAGGAATGAAGTATATTCTCCCGGTTTAAATTTGAGCGTGATCGTTTCCTGATAACACGTACGAATTTTTATCGAACGTGAAGAAATTTGTTTGTTCCGTCGTCCGTTGGAAAAGTTATATACGTCAAATTGAATTTTCTCGTTTATCAGGGTTTCATAAAATCGAGCCAAAAAAGTTTTTCCATTAAGAGGAATTCGTAAGATTCGTTCCCTTCGCCAAGTTCAGGTGATCAATTTATATTTTCATCGTTTTAATGTTATTACTTAATTTCATATCATATTTCCTCCTCTTAATTTATGGATGGATAAATTAACGTTAAAGAAATAATATTGGCAATCTTTTTCTCGGGCTTTCTTTTTTTTTCTTTTCTAACTGGAAATAAAAAAGTTTGTAAAATTCATTTTCAAATTTACTTGTTTAACAATTTTATATTTGTTCGCGCGAAGTAAAATTTCAGATTAATCAAAATAATAAATATCAAATACACCGATCGTTTTATTAATAATTTGCTGTTTCATCTGTTTCACGAGATTCGTCGTTTTATCGATCAGGATTCTATTTTAGTTCGAATTGGTGGAATACTTTTTTAAAGAAAGAATCGAATAAAACATTCTTTTTCTGTAATCGTAATAATAGTCGTTTAACGAACATTAAACTTTTAAATTTTTCCTCAGAACCATGTAAATTTCACGAGCACGATTTTCTTATATTATTCTCCTTATTTAAAATACTCCTCTTAATACTCGCGTTTGATTCAATATCGAGACTTTCTGATACAAGGATCGCTGATCTTCGATGTCGGAAGAAAAAAAGAGGAAG